GTTTTTGAGTGGAGCAGAAAAGTGGAGAGCAATAAACGTATCACAAGAAATTTGAATTGAAGACCAATAAACCTATCACACCTTTAAGTCCATTCTCTAAATGTGCTAACTTTTGAAAATTACCGTAGTTTTATCAATAGGCTAATCAATCAGAATCTTTGGTATTCTTTGTGAACTTTCATTAAATCAAACCAGAAGTAGATAGATTGGACAAACCTAGGGAAAAGATTATAGTAGTTTTTGAAAGTTGACAAATTTCGAATTCATTCTACTCATAGATTGGCAATGTTTTATCGGTAAATAAGTACAAAAACAAAAAAAGTTAGGCTGGGAAACTTCCAATCGCGGAAGTGGACGTGAAGCAAGCAAAGAGTAATGAAATTTCTGCACTTGACACTTTTCTGTTTAAAGTTTCTCATTCAAAGATTTCAAAAGCTTTTCTCTAGTAGATAAGTAAGAAGTAAAAACTGGGTTTTCAGTTTTTGGCTTGAGCATCAACGTATTTCCAGAATGACATTCCAAAACAAGACCGGCAGGCAACTTTTATTAGGCAAAAAGCCACAAAAATGATGAATATTTGAAGAGATGTTGGAGGAAAGAAACATGAAATTCGACTACATGTTTACAAGAAGTTTGCAAAAAAGAATTTTTATAGAGAATTGGAAAATGAAGAAAGCAAACTTGGTTTTAGGTTTAAAATTAGTGCTGACACACTGACGATGCGCCAAGAAGTGCGCCAAGAAGGGCGGGTTTTCAATTTCGGGCGTAAAGTACACGCAATGTGGAATTAGTTTTCCAGCTGACATAGACTAGACCAGCTAGCCCTAGACTAGACCAGCTAGCCCTAGACTAGACCAGCTAGCCCTAGACTAGACCAGCTAGCCCTAGACTAGACCAGCTAGACCTAGACTAGACCAGCTAGAATTAGACCAGCTTTATCCCAAAAGCAGTTTTCTGGATTAGGCCAGAAGATGGTTTTGCCCTTGTTTGGCTAGCTTTGTCCACAAAAGTTTCTGCATTTGCCAGAAGCCATTAGCCTTTAAAGTTTGGATAGTTGTGCTCTTCATGGAGCCGCCACAAAGAAACTTCTCAACGGCTTCAGTGTTTCATAAAACTTGCAATTACACTGCAAGTACACTTCGTCGAGCACACTAACGTCGGTTCTGCAAACTGCTGTTCTTTGTTCCATCACGTTAAAGACCTTCATGGTCACAAATTTCTGCAAATGAGAAAAATCTATATGCAAATATTAGGTAAATTTTGGATCTCCTTCTCAAATGAATCAGCAGTTCATGACTTTATAAACTCTTATAGAAAAAGCAGTGCTCGTTGTGAGACAAAGTAGTTTGTTTGTGCGAAAAACGTGAAGTTTCGCATTGTTCTTTCCACCAATCTTTGCATTTTGAAGTTCATGAGTTGAAAGTTGAAACGATGAACGATTTTGAGAATTGAAAGCTTTATGAACACCGTTAAAAGTTGTAAAGGAATGCATAAAACATAAATGTTTAATGCAAAGACATCAGAAAAAGAATTTTCCAAAAAAACAAAAGAATTGGACAGCACAGGATTGGCAAACCAGGCCAAAAACTTTATAAGTTCCACAGACTAGCACACTATCCACTAGACCACCGCTCACAAAGATAGATTCTTGCAAAGGTGCAAAGGACAATGCAAAACCGTGAGTTTTTTCTACACAAACAAACTACTTTGTTCTACAAAGAACACTGCTTTTGTTACCAGAATTAATAAAGTCATGAACTAATGATTCAGCTATGCCAGATCCTTCCAATTGCGTGGGTGTTTGCAGCTAATTTTTACAGATTCAAAATCAGCATAGCCGATTCTATAAGATGCACTCGGTCACGAAACGATTCTGAACTTTGAGCTGGTATCATTCCCTTGCTGGTACTCAATTGTGCAGTGCGTGAGAGGGTACCGATGGGGCAATTATTATTTGGATATTTATATAGCACAATCACTAATCTAGCGAGAAAATACAATAAGATAGAATCGTTGGTTCAGTGTTTCAAAGTCAAAGAAAAGCAATACAAAATGGGCTCCGTCCCCTTTTATCACACAAAGGATCTTTAGAGGAAGGACAAGATAATCAGAGATATTCAAAATGAAAGCATCAAATAAGATTTCACAGAAAAGAGCTACTTTTCTGCACACCAATAGTAAGGCAAATAGTAAGCACGACTATCCTAACTTTAAAGGCAAATGGCAAAGGCAAATGGCTTTAAAGGCAAATGGCAAAGGCAAATGGCTTTAAAGGCAAATGGCAAAGGCAACCCAGAAACTTTTGTGGGCAAAGCCAAAGATAAAAAAAAACCGCTAAACGGATTATCCTGAAAATTTGGCTATATACTTAACTTTTTGTGTGCCATCTTTTTTATTTTGTCATCAAGATAGGTTTCTTTGGAAGAAACGGTCCAAATCGCATCATCGGCCCTTGTCATTTTTGAACACTCGGCTTTTTGCTAATGAAAAAGCTTCAAAACAAAGCTTTTCAAAGCTTCTCACAAACTTTCAAAAGTCCTTTTCAAGAAAAATGATTGGGATATCTAATGAAAAACCGTATTTCATTTGGTAGCTGGAGACCTATTCAATTAGATGAAATGAATTTGGATGAAAGATTTAGTGCTTAACTTAATGCATAGACTGGTTACAGGCTCAGGACCTGGATTGAATATTGATCGCTTGAAAACCTATAAAAACTATACTAAAGCATTATACTAAAGCATTAAAGTTGAACAACTATTGGATTAAGTTAGCGTGAAGGAATTTTCAACATAGAGGCTTTTAAAAAGCATAGACAAAGTCCGGAAATGACCTCAATGAGTTGTGTGCACGGGTCGTTAACTCTCTTTTTGATCCTTCCCTTTTTTCGGGCACACCAAGTCCAATGATGAAGCTATTTGGGTATTTCATCATTAGCCATGATTTATTTTTAAGTCATTTTCGGCTATTCTTATCTTGAGAACAATAAGAAATAAACAATATGCAAAAAAAAAATTGGCTAATAAACGAGATGCAAGAGTTGGAGAGATCATTGAGTTTTGGCTACTTTGTACTCAAATTTCGAGTGAATTGAAAACGATTAGTGATGCTTGAATGAATCGAAATACAATTCGGCACAAATTGATCTCAAAATTATATCAAATCCATAAATAAAAATGTAAAAAAAGAAGATTGGACCTTGATTTTGACTTTGCAAGACTTTACATCCAAGGCTGGATTTGCCGTTAATTTTTTGTCAATAAATTTTGAGTTAAAAAGTCAACTGCTTTCTTTTTATATTAGGTTGTTCGGATATAAACGAGCGTTACTAAACTTATTGTTGTGAGGGAAGCTTTTCAAAAATGTCTTTCTGTATTTAAAAGTACGTTATTTTGTGTATATTTGGAATCATTTTAAACGGATAATTTCTTATTTTTAAGATCTTTTTTCTTGCTTTAGATGATCGACTTCAAATATATCAAGTTCGCGTCTGCCTACTTTACGACTTAAAACTGGGATTCCGCTACAAAACAGTCGCGGAATCCCATCGAGATTTGGTCAAAGCCTTTGGGAATGATGTATAGTCCGAAAGCCGATGCCGATCCTGGTTCCAACGCTTTCGGAATGGTGATGAAAGTCTCGAGGATGATGAACACCCTCGTCGACCTCAAACGGTAGACAACGATACTTTGAGGGCTGCAATCGAATCGGATCGATGTCAAACGACGCGTGAACTTGCTCAACAGTTTCTATTGTCAAATTCTACTATTGATGAGCATCTCCACGCCATTGGAAAGACGAGCAGATACGGGAAATGACTTCCTCACGAGTTAAGCAGTGCAAACAAGGCTTCACGGGTCGCTATCGCCGGAATCCTCATCCACCACGCTAAAGATCGTGGCTTTTTGATTCTCTCGTTACTGGAGATGAGAAGTGAATCTATTTCGATAATACTATTCGAAAACGGCAATGGCTAGGACCAGCAGAACGGCCGAATCCGACCGTGAAACCGGACATTCATGGGAAAAAGGTCATGCTCGCAGTATGGTGGAATAACAAGGGCCTTGTGTATTTTGAGCTTCGACAACCTATGTTCATGTTTCTATATTCAAATTCTACGCCATTGGAAAGGTGATCAGATACGGGAAATGGCTTCCTCACAAGTTAAGCAGTGCAAACGCTCGTTTATATCCGAACAACCTAATAGTTAATCGCAAAACAAAATCAAATCAAGAAATCGAACTTTCAGAGATGAGAACATGTAAAAATTTCTTCGGAGTTTCTTGGGAAATCACGGAAATCAGTTTCTTGTACGGAGTTTGATTTTTGGATTAGGTAGAAGTCAGTTCTAAACCTTTACTCAAAAATAATGCAAGAGATGTGAAAATACACATGATTTATTGCAAAAAGCGTGATTACTTTGCATAGAGTTCTTTTGGTCAAGTAAACAGTCAGCTTTTAAGTGAAGTCAGCTTTTAAGTGAAGTCAGCTGTCAATCAATTAGCAAAAGTTGCCCAAATGTACAACTTTTTTCCAAACGTCTTTTAAAAATAATGCCGCCACCAACAAAATTTCTATTGAAACTATTAAAAAGGCTAGTTGTTTCTCTGCAAAATGGCTTTTGAGAAATTCTTGAAAGTAGTTGTTCTTGTGGATTTTTAAAGGCGTAAAGGCGAGTGCTCGCCAAAACTGTCAAAAGAAAGTTAGTTTACAACCATATATAGCTGTGTCTATGGAATGTGCATGTTGTGGCAAAGTTTCAGAAATTTCATTTGAAAACTCGCGACTTGGTGCAGCTTTTTAGCTCTCTGATAAGTGAGCGGGGCTTCATCACCTTTGCGCGTCTTTTATTAGTAATTATAATGTTTCTATAATAATGTTTCTATAATAATGTTATAAATATTAGTTATTATATAGTAAAGCAAGCAATTCAAAACTATTTATCTACAAATAAATATGCAAAACGAGAATCTCGTGAAGGACTTTGTCCCCCTCTATCATTCCGATGTCGTTTCGATTCTCCTCTCTCTGCCATCTTCAATTCTTTCTCTTTTCGCTACAATATGAACGAATGCATAAATGCCGACAGCCACTCCACTGATTCCGCCCATCAACAACCAAACGAAACCCTAAAACAAATGCCTAATGTCTGAAAGAAGAAATTCTTGGGATCTCCAGCTAGTCAATAATTTTCCTACATTGTCTAAAAATAGTTGAAGCCAGCAAAACAAATAAGCTTAAAAAAGCAAAACAAGGAAGCTTTCACAGCTTTTGTCGAAGCTTTTCTCAGCTTTCACAGCTTTTGTCAAAGCTTTTCTCAGCTTTCACAGCTTTTGTCAAAGCTTTTCTCAGCTTTCACAGCTTTTATCACAGCTTTTCTCAGCTTTCACAGCTTTTGTCGAAGCTTTTCTCAGCTTTCACAGCTTTTGTCAAAGCTTTTCTCAGCTTTCACAGCTTTTGTCGAAGCTTTTCTCGCTTTCCGCTTTATCACGTTTTCTCAGCTCCGCTTTTGTCCGCTTTTCTCGCTTAGCTTTTGTCACAGCTTTTCTCGCTTTCACAGCTTTTATCACAGCTTTTCTCGCTTTCCGCTTTTGTCCGCTTTTCTCGCTTTCCAGCTTTTACACAGTTCTCAGCTTCCGCTTTTGTCGAGCTTTTCTCAGCTTTCCGCTTTTGTCGAGCTTTTCTCAGCTTTCCAGCTTTATCACAGTTTTTCTCGCTTTCACAGCTTTTGTCACAGCTTTTCTCAGCTTTCCCAGCTTTTATCACAGCTTTTCTCAGCTTTCACAGCTTTTGTCACAGCTTTTCTCAGCTTTCACAGCTTTTATCACAGCTTTTCTCAGCTTTCACAGCTTTTGTCGAAGCTTTTCTCAGCTCACACATCTAATTTTCACTTCTAATTTTAGATTAAATCGAGATTTAGCAAATCTTTTGCTTGGCACAACTCTATTCGAGTGAAAACCGGAAATCGGTGAATTAAGGCCAATTTCGTTTCCTTGTGAGGGATTTGCAGAAGCTTTTAATCTTATGGAGAAAAAAATATCTTCTCATGATGTTAAAGATTCCAAAGAAAAAGTAAACGTTAATTCCAGCCCTAGATTCAATCCGTCACAAGGAAACAAAATTGGCCTTAATTCACCGAGTTCCGGTCTCCATTCGAATAGAGTTGTGCCAAGCAAAAGATTTGCTAAATCTCGATTTAATCTAAAATTAGAAGTGAAAGGTCAAAGAGTTCAAAGCTTTTTGGAGAAATTTTAACTTTTATCACGTGCCAATCAAATCAAAGAGATTTTGGAGTAGATGTTACGTCCGATCTAGAGCGATCTGTTTGATTCTAGATTGGACGTCCGATCTAGAGTGATCGGCTTGATTCGAGATTGGATGTCCGATCTAGAGTGATCGACTTGATGTTAGATCGGACGTCCGATCTAGAGTGATCGGTTTGATTCTAGATCTTACGTCTGATCTAGAGTGCTCGGCTTGATTTTAGATCTGACGTCCGATCTAGAGTGATCGGTTTGATTCTAGCTCGAACGTTTGCTCTCACTTCACTCTAGATCGGACTTAACATTTACACAATTTAGACCTTCGGATTGGTTATTTATTTCTGAACCGGGCGCCAGGATCTGTAAGCCAGGCCAGCCAGCCATCCAGCCAGGCCTGGCTTCCGGCAGGTTTATGTTTATGGCAAGTCTTTTCTGCAAGCCAGTCCAGACAAAGCTGGAGTCTAGGCTTTGATCTGGCTTCTGGCATGACTCTGTCCTTGTCTAGACTGCAATGATAGAGAATTGCCCTAGTAAACCCGGAAAATCACCTTGGAACCCCGATTTTAACCAGATCAAAGCTTGTCCATAGCTAGGCCAGAATATCCTTTAGAATATTCCTGCTTGCCGACAGTTTTAAATAAACCCACCATATACCAATCGACAGTTGCTGTATAAATGTTCTGCAAAATAGCGTTTTGAGCGATTCCGGCAAGCTTTTGCGCGATTGAGGCCACCGCAAAGGCTTTACCAATCTGGAAGCTTTCGTTTTTGTGGGTGTGAACAAGAAATGGTTTAGTGTCAAGTGAGTTGAGTTTTTGACTGTCAGAAAAACTCGTTAAAGAAATCACCTCATTCGGCTCGATCAAACACGACATGAACGAATAGGTCAATGGATTGAGAAGACCGTGAAGACTTCCAATTGGCAATGATAAAAAGATTATCCATGTTTCTGAAAATCAAACTGTAATTGGAAAATTAAAAATTAAAGTCTAAAGAATACAATAGACAAAGACAAAAACCTCGTCAAGACTTCTTCAATCTGCAAGACGATAAAACTGTTTTAAAGTTTGTTTACCATGTTTGATTGTTTACTTGTTTACTTGAAAGTTTGATTTGTTTGATTTGATAAAACTTTGAAACCAAAAAAACCATACCTCGACCTATCCCCATACTCTGGAATCCGCATACCCTGGAATCCCCATACCCTGGAATCCCCATACCCTGGAATCCGCATACCCTGACATCCCCATACCCTGACATACCAATACCCTGACATCCCAATACCCTGACATCCCAATACCCTGACATCCCAATACCCTGACATCCCAATACCCTGACATCCCAATACCCTGACATCCCCATACCCTGACATACCAATACCCTGACATCCCAATACCCAATACCCTGACATCCCAATACCCTAACATTGACTTGTCTGGTTTATTCCGATAACGAGCGAGACGCACCCCTACTTAATACACCGCGAATAATCTCGTTCGCAGGTATTCTTAGAGGAATTGGCGGTATCGAGCCGCACGAAAGTGCGCAATAACAGGTCTGTGATGCCCTTAGATGTTCGGGGCTGCACGCGTGCTACACTGGAGTCTGCAACGTGTTCCATGGCCGAAGGGTCACTGGCAAACCGTTGAAAAGTTCCCCATACCCTAACATCCCCATACCTCAGGAATGGGGATACCTCGACCTATCTCAAGGTGGCCGTCGTTGCCGAAAAGAAGGGAGCCAAAAAAGTTAGTAGAAAGGTTAGTAGAAATATTTGTTATGACGTCAAATCCGAAGTCAATTCAATCCGAAGATCTTAATGTCACATAAAATGTCATAAGTCTGGTCTCATTTTAATGTTATGATGTGATCCGCAAAGCCACAAACCATGTGCTAATCCGATCATCACCGCACACAATCCCATACTCGCTATGGCCAACGCGATCACCAGCGAATCTTTACATTTGAGTAGATTCTTGAATAGAAACATTCCAATAAACATTCCGATGATTTCTGAAAAGGTATTGGTGATTTTATAAAGTTGTAACAACTCACGAACTATTGGTCTCCATGATTTGTATCTGGCATAGGTATGAGAATCCCAATCGAACGGCGCTAGCTTGGTGTAAGTGCCGATTAGGCCTGAAAAGCTTTAACGATTTTGACAAATTGTTGAGCGCTAACTTCAAGTGGGATTTTAAAAGGAATCTTTCCCTACTTACAAGTACATGTAGAAAGTCTTAACGTACTTTCAAGGAAAAGTTTCCCTACTTACAAGTACATGTACAAAGTCCTACGTACTTTCAAGAAAAAGCTTCCGTACTTACAGGTACATGTACAAAGTCCTAACGTACTTTCAAGGAAAAGTTAATTATTTACATAAGAAATTGATTTGTTTTTATTTAATAAATTATCTATGAAGATTTCTAGATCCGAAAATCCGAAGAATCAAACAAATCCGAAGATCTTAATGTCCCATAAAATGTCAGAAGTTTGGTCTCATTTTAAAATCCCATTGACTTTCAAACAAGTTGACTTTCAAACAAGTTGGCTTGTTTCTAACACCATAAGTCGACTTTTTGGACTCATTTTTGAACTCGTTTAAGCTTTTCCTATTAAAATTATATTGTTTTTGCCTTTCTCTTCTTCAAAAAACGAACTGATCAAGAAAATTTGCTAAGAAATAAAGTGAATGAATCACTCCTTTTGAATAAATATTTTGCAATTTCAAAAAAGAGGTACAAAATATTCAGACAAAATTTTTCTATGCAAATTTGGGAAGCTATTATTAGTAGAGTGTGTTCCTCTCGACTAATGCTCTTTCTAAAATGCACCTATTTGAGAAAAGTGCCGTAGTCAAACCGTTATTTTTCATCAGATCAATCCAACCCAATTTAATCCATTGGCTGAGCCTTGTGATTCCTCATCAAATGATACCAAAATTGAGCTGATCGGATGTAAATCGGCAGTTTGACTACGTTGGCTTCCTCAAATAGGTGCATTTTCGAAAACGCATTAGTCGAAAGGAACACACTCTAATTATTAGAGGGAAGAAGGGGTCATTATTTGTTTCGTTTGCCCTCTAAGGAGGGGGGCTACTCTTACAGCTTTTACGGTATTCTATTTGGTCCATTCTGGAGACAAAAACTGGTGCTAAATCCCACACATCAATCGACTCTTTGAAGCACGACTTGGTTAAGGCATGTCACTTGATTTCTTTGACTACCATTGAAAAGGCAAAAGCAAAAGGCAAAAGGCAATTTCCAGGTGCTTGAAAAAGTGTATTATTGCAAATGGTGGTCATTTTGAGTTTTAAAAATTGTGCTATTGTAACGAATTTGTTTTTAGACTCACTTTTGGACTCTTTTGGACTCTTTTAAGCTTTTGTGACTGACTCTTTTAAGCTTTTGCTATTAAGATGAGATTATCTTTACCTTTCTCCTCCCCAAAAACGAATTGATCAAGAAAATTTGCCAAGAAGCAAAGCCATAAGAAAAGTCGGCGATTTCCTTCACGTGGGCGGAAGAAAATCTTCACCGAATCCCATAAAGAAACGAATGATTGCCAAGCGATTTCGAGAATCGTTTTCCTAGAAAGCGAATCAGTAAAACACTAAAAATATGCATAAACTATTTAAATGTGATCTTTAAATATGAAAAAAACTCACGGTCTCGTTTCAATCTCAATCGATTGATCCGAATCATGCTCTTCGACTTCTTCTCTTAAAGGAATTGATGCCGGGATCCGGTTATCAATTAGAACAAACGCCAATACGAGAGAGAATATGTATACACCTAAAATAAAAACGATTAGACTTCGACCATGGTCGACTAGCTTCCACCATGGCCGACTAGCTTCCACCATGGTCGACTAGCTTCCACTATGGCCAATAGGAGACCGGTCTTCTATTCGAGTAAATACGGTATATGGGTTTTTCCCTATAGCTATCTTTTTCCCTATAGCTATCTTTTAGCTATCTTTTAGCTTCTAAAAGTCTTTTTTCTTTTTGAACTTATAAGATTTTAATGTTTTTCTTTAGATGAGCTCCATTACTCCCGAAATTGTTGTTGGCTTGCTACATGTAACTTTCCCGGTTCTCCTGATCTCTCAAAAGCTACACGTAGAGAAAAGAAGTTGGCTCGTCGGTTAGCAGTCGGTTTGCGGAGGTTTTACAAAAAAAGCAAAAGGTACTTAGGGGTGTCCATGGTCCATTAAGAAAAAGCTATCGTCTTTTATTTTTCATTAGTGGAATGAGGTGGCTCATTGCATTGGGGCTGCTCGGGTTGGGCTCAAGGGCGACCGATGTGAGTGATTGGAAACAACAAGGAACAACTTCGACAGTCCTCATGGATATGGATCCCTTAAGAATGGACTTCGACAATTATATGAGGGATATTTGTAGGGGGCGAGAGGAATCGAATCGAAAAGCAAAGATTGCACTAATTTGATAGCCTAACGCTCTGTCCCCTAGACCGCAGCTGTTTGTGTTCCTTTCGGCGTGGCACCTTATAGGTGAGATAAGAGTTTGCCAAAAATGATCAGAACTTTGCAGCTCCTTTCGGCGCTCCAGCTTTTCTTAAAAGCCAGGGCTCGTGGGCAAAAGCTAAACCCAGCGTCGGATTCGTCGTGTCCGATAGACATTTGCATCTCATCGCCGTTTAAAAGAACACCCTCTTTAGACCGTTTCTTTGTTAGGGAAAGCCAGGAGTTGTACTTGCGGATTGCTTGTACCACATTATTCGTGCATTTCTTCTTTCTATAAATGCCACAAACCTTCAACTATAATCAAAATATTGATCTCCGAGAGCCAATAGAGAATCCCATCGGTGAGTTGCGAGCCACCAAATTGCCCGAGGGAAAAAAGAATCGAGACAACGATCATTCGGAGGGAAAGCTGTAAAATGGTGGTGATAATGACAGATGCAAGCTAAAGCCAATGCCTTTCACTCGCTCAAGGCCTGGAATTCTCAAATTTACTGTTGAATTTGGCCTAAAATCTTGGCTTTGTCTGAAAATTGAACTCTTTTGCCAACTTTTGTCCAGTTAAAAAAATTAATCCCTGAAAATCTGTGTTAGCATAAACTCTATTGATATCTTAAAGACGATCTTAATGAGAAATTGGTACTTGTGAATCTTATCCCGTCAAATTTATGCAATTTGAATTTTAGCTTAAATTTGTATATCGATTCGCAAAGGCATCTGGCTCGAAGGCTGTATGGAAAAATAAAATTTTCCAAACACGTTCGGGACCACCTCTAACCCTTAGTAGCTTGTTGTAGTTGTAATTGTAGCCCGTGCTAGCCCGTGATGCGCAGCTGGGAAGTGACCTGCGTCATACCGTGTAGTTGTAGTGGTAGTTGTAGTTATAGTTATAGTTGTAGCTGTAGTTGTAGTGGTAGTTGTAGTTATAGTTATAGTTGTAGCTGTAGCTGTAGCTGTAGTTGTAGTTGTAGTTGTAGAAAGAAAGTGGTCCGGGGGTGGCGCATCACGTGGTTCCCCAGGGCACCTGTGGTGGGCCAATAAAAACACGATGTGACGCAGGTCACTTCCCAGCCGCGCATCACGGGCTAGCACGGGCTACAACCACAACTGCAACTACAACTGCAACTACAACTGCAACTACAACTACAACTACAACTACAACTACAACTACAACTACACAGTATGACGAAGGTCACTTCCCAGCTCTGCGCATCACGGGCTAGCACGGGCTACAACTACAACTACAACTACAACTAGACGATGTGACGCAGGTCACTTCCAATCCAAATTTAACCTAAAATTCAAACCGCATAAATTTGCGGGCATAAGATCCACAAGTAACGAGAAATTTTTGACTATTCAGCTAATCTTTACCATTTTCTTATCGGGAAACTGGTCAGTGACATAGGCATTGATGGCGCTCATCGTCAAGAGGAAATCCCCAAGAATGCCGGCAATCGCAGCACACGCAAACAACCATTGTAGCGGCCAATCGGTCTCAGTGTGCCTAAAATACCGCTAATAGGCTTTGTCAATCAAAAAGCTTTAGAGAAAAAGAGATTTAAAATCTAATTTCAAGCATTTGACTCACCAAATCAATATCCGAAAAGCCGTCTCGACAATGCAACTCAAAATCCCGATAAGGAGCGGCAACTTTCGACCGTAGTAATCACTGTAACCACCTGAAATGTTTTAAAAACTGATTAAATGTTGGGAAAACTCTACCGTAGGCAACACCAACAATACAAGCGATCGGCAGATTTACATAGTCGTAATTCTGATCCCAAAGCACCATCTTTTTATTGTAAAAAGTTTTCTCTTTGGCGCCAGGCGGGAGAATGTAGGTCCGTTTCATTTTGTTTTCACTTAAAGTTGGTGTGACGATCCCTCTGAATTTGTTTAATTAATGTTACTTTTAAAAGATGAAGTTGAAAAATGTTAAATACGGAAGGAAGATCATTATCAGAACATTATCGTTGGCGCTGGCCGTTGACCGGAAAGTCTTGTCCGCTTTTTTAAAGGTTATTTTTTGAAATCAAAAAATAAATCAATCGATTTATGGTTTGTTTTATCAGAAAGTCCTATTCTTTATTGATAAATTGTTCTTTCAGAAATTCTGAAAAGGTTTTTTAGTTAATTTCTTTTAAAGATCTAAAGTCGAGCAGTCAAAAACGATGAAACTTATTATAATTATGCATTTATAAACGCAGATTTCAGGTGGATAAAGCTTTCCGGTTAAATCAATAAAATGGCGAAAAGTTTACTGGCTAAATCTTCAAAGCTTTACTTGATTGATTGGCAAGCTGCGAGAAAGAATATCAGTGGCTCGGTTCGAATATCCCAACTCCGAATTTTTCTCGCTGCTCGTTTCAAGGAATCCATGTTAAAATCTGAAAAGAGATTAGAAAACAACGACAAGAACAAGAACAAGAACAAGAAGAACAAGAACAAGAATAAGAACAACGACAAGAACAAGAAAAAGAACAAGAACAACAAGAACAAGAACAAGAATAAGAATAAGAGCAACAAGAACAAGAACAACAAGAACAAGAACAACAAGAACAAGAACAAGAACAAGAACAACAAGAACAACAAGAACAACAAGGACAAGAACAACAACGACAAGAACAAGAACAACAAAAACAACAACAACAACAACAAAAACGTTACTTTCTACAAAAACTTCTGAATAACTCAATAAAATTTTAAGAATAACAACAAAATATTAAAAAAAAAGATGATTTATTAGGTTTAAAAATTGAGCTTCCATGAAAAAATCAGACGACTCAAGAAAGAAGTAATAAATTCTTGATAAGAAAGTCTCTCTTGGGTAGAGAAAATGGCAATCAAGAGATCACGAATATTTCTCGGCTTAACTTTGAACTCAAAACGAAAAATGATGTCAAAAGAATAGTAGAAACTCGGTTAGATTCTAACAAATCTATCGGTTAACTTCTAACAAAAGTTGCATTTTAAAAAGCTCGTCAAAATGCTTCTGAATCAAATCGGTTATATGCTCGCAAAATTTGTATTGAACTTGATTTGCATTTGTATTGGGCTTAATCTGCATTTGAATTAGACTTGATTTGCATTTGAATTGAACCTAAATCCGAGGCAACGAAGGAAAATCATTTTACATTACTCATTCTACTTATTCGGATGGCTATTTTTGCTCCCTTCTGATGAGCAACGATACTGGACTTTCTGGACTTCAGCAATTACGCTGTGAGCAATTACGTCAGCAATTACGTCAGCAATCACAATTACGCAGCAGAAGAGCGTTGTGTGGGACAACTGGGACAACTAGGACAACCTTCTGATGAGCAACGATTCTGATGGACTTCAGCAATTATGTTGTGGGCAATTACGTCAGCAATTACAATTGCGCAGCAGCAGAGGATTGTGTGGGACATCGTGGAACGAGTCCACCTTACCTACTTCCCGAAATTTATGCCAAGCAAAGCAAGATGTGAATTTCTTTGAATGGATCCTCGAGCAAATTTCTCTTTTTTACCCACCCGTGACTGTCTGATGATTGTTTTTTTTTTGGAAAAGCTTTTTAAAATGCAAACCTTGTGGGGATCGAATCGATTTGATGCAAGGAAATTTTGATGATCTTTTTTAAAATGCAAAACTTGTCGGGATATAACCGATAAATACCGTAGAAACATTAGAACTTGTTAAAATTGTTAAAAACTTGTTAAAATTGTTGAAAACTTGTAAAATAAAATAAAAAGCATAGTGTTTTCTCTTTGGATACGCAAGAAAGAACGGTTTGTTTCATTTGAAGTATATAAAATATTAAAGAAGGATTCAAAACAATTAAAATCATTTTATTTAATTCAAATCTTTTTATTTAATTCAAATCTTTTTATTTAATCCAAATCCAAACAACAATTTTTTAAAAACTCTTTTGTTTTTCGATGAAAACAAAAAGATAAAATGCAAAAATTGAATCCAAAGCTGTAAAGGAAAAAAGGAATCTGCTGAAAAACAGAGAATTTCTTGGATAAACCTTGCAAAAAAAGAGTGTCAATCAATCGATTTTTTGCGCCCTTTTTCGTCTCTTTTGACCTCTTTTCAGCTAAATATTTGCCATAAACACAAACAACAAAACAAAATCTTTGCATTACTTAACAAAATGTTAAAGGAATTCTTTATTATTGTTTTTGTTTATTTGATTTGTAGGTACTTGTCGGTTATACACTACTGGACGATGAAATATCATATTTGAAAAAAGATTGTCACTTTCGCGCGTCTGTAACTCCCTTGTCTTTACCGTATTTCTAAATATTAATATTACCATTGTGTAGCCCTTGAAAAGAGCTTGCAGAAAATGCATAACACTAATAGTTTAAGCTCAAAGACAAGGGAGTTACAGACGCGCGAAAGTGACGATCGTTTTTCAAATATCATATTTCATTGTCCAGTACTGTACATCCACACAGACTCAACTCGGTTAAGCAAAGAGCTGACAACTTGTGTGGGGTGATTATGTTCAATGAAGTAGAGTGCTCGCCTGAAGTGTCTTCCGAGGCGCTCTTCCGAGGCGCTCTTTCGAAGCGCTCTTCCGAGGCGCTCTTTCGAAGCACTCTTCCGAGGCGCTCTTTCGAAGCGCTCTTCCGAGGCGCTCTTCCGAGGCGCTCTTTCGAAGCGCTCTTTCGAAGCGCTCTTCCGAAGCGCTCTTCCGAGGCGCTCTTCCGAGGCGCTATCTTTTCCAACACCAAAATTGAGTGGGGCACTGTTTGAAGAGAAACGGTAACGATACTCGGATACTTGTCGGTTATACATCCACAGAGACTCAACTCGGTTAAGCAAGAAGCTGGCAACTTGTGAGGGGTGATTATATTCAGTGAAATAGAGTGCTCGCCTGAAGTGATCAGTGGATCAGTCAAACGAAAATCGATAACCGAGAAGACTCGGATGGAGATGCTTCACAGAGATGAGTCTCTGTGAATGTATAACCGACAAGTACCGATTTGTAAAACTTCAAAATAGTGAAGCAGATTTATTTGGATCAAAAAGAAAGCCTCAAAACAAAAAAAAATTGCAAACTGATATGTGAAAAAGCGAGCAGAACCATTTTTACAAAAAAAAAAAACGGTAACCCGTAGCAAATTGCAAGTAGAAACTGCAAAAAAAGCACTTTGAGCAGATGGGTGAGAAAAATTGTATGAAAAAGACTAGGATTGATTAGAGAATAGAGGTAGAGATTAGCAAAAATGATAAGCATATTGAAATTCTATTAAACTATCAAATTGGATTTAAAAAATGAATACAGTATTAAATAGATTACATAAAGTTAACAAAAATTGAACGCACTGATAGTTAAACGTTTTCTTTGTAGTTTGTACTTTGTTCTCATCATCAGAAGTGTAAACGCACTATTTCTGGTACACTAAACTTGTTTGTTTTCTTGGTTTCTTTCCTGTGACGAGAAATCTGAAGATTTAAGTACTCTAGAAAATGTTTGTTTTCATTTTTGAGCACAAGGTACAGTACTGGACAATGAAATATGATATTTGAAAAGCGATCGTCACTGTCGTGCGTCTGTAACTCCCTTATCTTTATCTTTCAGTTTAAACTATTAGTGTTATGCATTTTCTGAAAGCTCTCTTTAAGGGCTACACAATGGTAATATTAATATTTAGAAATACGGTAAAGACAAGGGAGTTATAGACGCGCGAAAGTGACGATCTTTTTTCAAATATGAGTCCCAATATGAGTTCATTGTCCAGTAGTGTACGTTCAAAAACGTTTGATGAATCAAGAAAAATCTCAATAAAGATAAGGCTTATAAGAAAGGAAAACCGGGATAAGTATTGGGTTGGTGAATTGAAAACTGCGGGACTTTGAACCGAACTTTGAACTAAAATCTATCCAACATAAAACCATAAATTCATTCCAAATCATTTCCATTATTATTGAAGACTTCTGCCCATTTTACAGGCAATTTGCTGATTCCTCTTTCGTAGTAGGATTTTGGTTTGTGTGTGAGACAAGTGTGAGGCTCAAAAATCGAGGACTGAAGATGGAGACTGGAGAAGTCCCAGTTTGAGCACTTTCTTCAAAAGAAACCCATTTTGGTGTCAATAGAAAAGTTGTAGAGAATCAAAAATTAGGCTTATAGCCAAATTTCCAAAAAGATACACTTAGTAGTTTCACTTAAAATGCAAGTATTGTGAAAATTTCGCATTTCTTGAAAACCAGTTTTTGAATCGTTCTGAAAATTTGGATATAAGCTTGATTTTTGATTCTCTACAACTTTTCCATTGACACCAAAATGGGTTTCTTTTGAAGAAAGTGCTAAAACTGTGACAAATGACAATAGCCCGCAGTTTGCACCAACCCAATAATTGAAAAATTAAAGATAAATTCAGATTATTATTAAGTTGGCAAGAAAGTTTGTAGAAAAAGTTCACACGATGATTTCTCAAAAGAAAACAAGCCCTTCTCCCAATTTTCTTTTGATAAGAAGAGGGGGACGTCAGAGGGAATCAGCTACTAGATGGTTCGATTAGTGAACCAAGCCCGACGTTGCTTAACTTGGCAGATCTGACGGGATACCGTGTTTCAACGCCGTAGCTTCGGGTCAAAAAAAGAGATTTCTTTAACTGAAGTGACTTGGTCACTTTTTGAGTCCTTTAAACAAGTTTTTAATGGATAAATGGATGGGGAATGGGTCCGTTTCAAAACCTAAAATTAAGTACTTGAAACAGGGAAAATTTGCGATTAAGGGAAATTTCCCAAATTGGAAAATAATACTTTCAAGAACCTCTAAAATTTTGTGGAAAGCTTTTTTACGAGCAATTTCTCCGGGTCGACTTGTAAATCATAGAGCAAAGTGTTCTTGAATTGGTGAATTCGTTTTAAAGAAATTTTAGTGCAAATCTGTTCTTGGCTTTCTTTCTGCAAACACTTTCTTGCCAACCTAATAAATAGTTTAGTCTTTTTTTGAAGCTTCAAGATTTTCAAGAGCTTCAAGATTTTCAAGAGCTTCAAGAGCTTCAAGAGCTTCAAGATTTCACATTTTAATCTCTTCCCATATGAATTGGTCGATCTTCAAACTCAAATTCGGCAGTTGCCGCGTTTTCTCCTTTCTGTTTGTGAGAACCATAGACGAAGGAGATTGCTGACAAAATGCAAATCACGACAACACTCTGGAGATTTTGAATTAATGGATTAATGGAAAGGAAATTAATGAATTTAATGAATATTGTACAGGGTGCGTCATAATTATTGCAACAAGAGTTCAAAGACCGTTTAAAGACGTTCAAAGTTTTAAAGAAGAATGTGATGTCATGGGCGTGTAAAGCCAATAACAATCAAAATTGGACCTTCATGCAAGATGGAGCTCCCGCTCACACGAAGAAGACGGTTCA